GTCCAGGGCTTCCTTTTTCCTAGAGCTTTTATTTAAAAAAACAAAATTGAAATTGTAAATCTTTTCTCCATCTCTTTGAGATGTAAATCTTCTCCCAGAATCTTGAGGGTTGAAAAGCCAAGAATGTCTTTTTCAAGGATCTAGGAGCCAGGTCTTTTAAATGCAGTAATGTATATAGTAAATGTAAAAAATATCATGAAGAAAGATAAATTCCAGTCTATGTGTCAGTGTAAGAGCACAACATAACAATTAGCAAACAGAAATGATCTAGTCAACATTGACCAACCTCCACCCTGAACTTTCCCACTAGCTAGCCCCAGTACTTAAAAACTCCTATCTTTTGTTTCAGCAGAGTTGTGTTCAATCTATCTTCCTTTTTGCAAGAGTGCTGAATTAATTCTTCCTTGCCTGTTTAATTCTGTCCAGTGCAATTTTTCTTGAACACACTCAAGCTGAAGATATGACAATATCCATGAGTAAAAATGCTGCAGATTCTCCCTGCTCTTTACCTGAAGTCCGACATTTTCATGAATAAAAACTAATCAATTTGTTGTTTGCCTCTGGTTGCATTCCATAGCCTGGAATGGTTATTTTTGACAATTTGTCTGGTGTTATACTTATTTGTTGGGGGAAAGATTTACTGACCTTTTGATTTTGCTGTACCCACCTTCTGACATTGTCATGAGTCTGAATTCCAACATCATTGCCAGGAGGAGTTTTACTGGCCATTCATAATTTGGAAATCATTGTGCAATCTTTTGCTGAATACAAATCATTTACAAAGAAGAAAATCTATTTCCATAACATTACTGGTATTTCATTGTATTTTAGCACACAAAGAAGAATCTTACTGTATTTTTACTGTATTTTTTCTTAATTTCTCTTTATTTTGCTTAATGAGACATTTCTTCGAGGCTAGTTTACACTTTGTTTTCTTTCTTTTTCCTTCTCTCATGTATTTCTTATTTTCTTTATGTTTTTTGTCAAATGACTTCTTAAAAGCTAGCTAAATTTTCTTCACTGATTATCATTGTTTATAAGAATATTTATATTTCCAGAAAGAATTAGTTAAGCAAGTTGGAAAAGTATGACTTTATTTTTAATTTGCAGCCCAGGATGGGGTGCTGATCCACCAAATGCCAGTTTTTATCCTTCCAAGTAGGAAACTGATACATCAATAATCATGCTTCTCAAGATCTTTTTCTCTTTATGAAGGCCATTGCCTGCCATGCTCCTCAGTTGACATGCATGAAGGTGGATTATACACGTGGAACCATGGTGGATAAATCCACCCCCAAGTTCCTTTGAAAATCTTGACTTTTGTAACTTTAGCTCAGTGATTTATTTTCATTCCAATATTTAACTTTTTTGAGTAATTTCACTGTGTGATTCAATAATTCATATTTGTCTGCTTTAAAATGTTCAGACCCGCTGTTACAATGTGATTTTTTAAAAAATTTTACCAATATCTTTCCCAATACCTTTATTCTTCCTTATTTTATATGTGGATAGATATGTATGTGTAAAAATAAACATTCATTATTGCAAGGTTAGGGCAAGGTTAGGCTATAATTTGTCCCTATTTCCTAAGAGGATAAAATTGAGACATGAAAGAATATAAGAAGCAAGTTAACATCATCATCTTTATCATCATCATCAATAATAATAATAACAACAACAAGAATGTAATGCCTATTTGTCATTTGCTGTGTGCCAAGAAGTTCTTTAATGAGTTATTTAGCACTTAAAGTAGCCCTATGAGCTGAGACTTCCATTATCTCCATTTTATAAGAAAAAAATATATATAGTTAGAAAGTCTCAAAATTACCTGTAATAAAATAAAACTGACTTGCAGGGTTCTCTCACACTTAACCTGTGTTAGGTGTTGTTCCAAAATCTTTCTATCTCTAACATAGTAAAATAATACACTTAAAACAAATAAAATCTAATAGCTATTGTTATGGTTATCCTCATAGTGCAGATGGGTAAAATAAAACATGCAGATGATAAACTACTTTTATATATTCATGTAGCTTATAATTGATCAATCCAGGATGAGAGTCCCTCATCCTATTTCTCTAGAGAGAGTGGGAGCTGATATTTAAATTCTGATCACTTTCTACTAGATCCCATGCATTACCACCACATTCTACTGCCTTGCAGACAAATTGCATATGAGTTTTTGTGAGAATTATTGAAGTTTGGGATTACAAAAGACTTCAGAAGTGACCATTTTAGGAAAAATCTATTTTGCATCTACTGAAAAGTCCTCTCCAAAACATTAACAAGTTCTTCTGTAGGTCTATTTGAAAAATCCTATTACAGGATATATGGATTTAAGTAGCAACTTATTCAGGTTTGAGTTAATATTATTAGAAAGTATTTTCTTCTGTTGTGATGAAATTTGGGTTCCTACAGATGCAACCAGATGCTTTGAGCCTGAATTGTCCCTGTGAAATCAGAGATATGTTTACTTTCTTTTCCTCATTATAGCCCTTTAAACATATTAAATAAAACTTTAAAGGAAACTTGTATGGTTTTCAGTTTCTTAAGCAATCCACATCTAATACAGCTCCAAATTCCCTGAGCATAGTTGTCTCTCCCCATTGGAACAAATAAATTTACAAATTTACCATGAAGCATAATACATAATATTTCAGGTGTGTTCTGAGTATTATAGAATAGAGTAGGGTTAAAACTTTCCATTCCATTCCTGGAAATAGCATAATGTAATGGTAGAAATTTTCTGCTCTTAATTCTTAAAACCATGTTACTTTAGACAATGTACCTTGATTCTCTATGACTCAGTTTCCTCCTTAGTCAAATGTGAATGATAATTATGCCTACTTTGTTGAGTTGATATGAGAATCAAGTGAGATCATGAAGTGATCATTTAGAAAACTGCCTATTACACAAGTCTCAAGGTTGGAAACTACAGGTAACATTATTTTAAAATCCAGGCACTTATTGTGTATAGAAAATGAGTATAGATACGGATGTTACAAAGAGAGAAATATGATGTCCACGTTCCAAAGGCACTTCCACTTAAAATTCTAGATTTTCTATTTCTTGTGAGCTGGCCAGTTGCATTTGATTTTGGAAAATCATAAATCAGTTCACCCTGTGGATTTATAATTATATAAGAGTAAGGAAAAACCCTGGAGCCTTTTTCAAAGTTGCTTCTGAAATGCTCGCTCTTCTATTCTTTCTTTCTAATTTAGGTTTATCCAGTTCCATCTTTTGGAATTCTGATTGTGTCTTTCTAATTCCTGATTTTCTGCCAAAGTTCCTAGTCACATGTGCCTGTGAGAAGCCTTTCTCCCATCAGTGTTGTCAACCTGGCCCTTGATGGAATGTGAAGTAGAACAGAATCAGAGAGTGATCTTGCAGCAACTCATCAGAGGACTCCTGGGGAGTCATTTACATAGTTAGGAATCAGCCTTGAAGTACTCACACCCAGAACATTTCTTAATTTTGTTAATAGGACCATTTGGGGAACTTTCTCCAGGAAGCTTTTTATAAATCCAAATGTCTATCATCAATTTATGTAGCATCACCTGCTTGGTTATCCAATTCTATTTCTAAAAAGGAAGCAGATGAAATAAGTTTAGAGCAGTGCAATTGTTCACAGAGAACCTGTGCTGATTCTTGGTAATTACTGTCTTCTTCTATAAGGGTTCTCAGAAATCTTTTGAAGAATCACTTGTATAATCTAAATAGGCATTAAAACTAATGGGCCTTTTGTATTTTAAGATATATTTCTGCTTCTTTTTTGGAAGTTGAGGCTTTTTTTTTTTTTTTCCTGTCACCAATATTGTCTCCACCATTAACTGCCAAGACGGATCACGATGGCTCAGAAAATCTCATTTACAAATTCTCTCAGAGTTTTGAAATTTTATTTTTCAGGGTCTCAACACTTGAAGCATTTATCCCTCACAATCACCCTATTTAGTTTGGTTTCAATTACTCTTCCCCGATGCTTTTCTAGCCCTCTCCAGTTGAAAATGTCTCTTGACAAAAGAGAAACAAAAATCTGTTGTTCATCACTGACTTCAAGTTGATAACTTCATTTGTATTCTTGCTAAAAATAAAAATGACATTGGTACTTTTAAAATATTCTTTGCATTTCCATTACCCCTAGTCTTTCTGACTTTAGTCTTCTACACCATTTTCTTAGCTCTAATATATCTGTATATTGGCCCAAGCACAGGCCCTTGTGTATATTTAATGATTCCTTCAATAAATGTATGTTGAGTCCTGAGCTGGGAAGTAGCTCAGCAGTAGAGAGCTTGCTTAGCAAGCAAGAAGCCTTGGGTGTGTGTGTGTGTGTGTGTGTGTGTGTGTGTGTGTGTGTGTGTAACTGTATCTATATATTTATATCTACAGCCTGTTACTTTCCAGGTACTGTTCTAGACACAGAGGATACAGCAGTAGATGAAATAGACATATTCATTGTTTTACAGTCCAGTATCTGGTATAAGTCTTTATTTATCAAATATTTATTTATCTCCCCATTTTTTTCCACCTAAAGACACTTTTCTTTCACATGCTTAACTTTTTAATTTTAAGCATTATCTTACCCTTTGGGAGACATTTTCAATTAGACACTCATAATCCTGGAAGAATCATCAGCGTCTCCCCCTGAAATTTCTTGAAGTCAGACCTCTCAACATCCATGTCAATATCTAACATTTCCTCCTTATACTTCTCTCCCATAATGTTTCCATTCTCTTGTAAAACTGATGAGCAATGTGGGAACAAGGGGTTTTAACATAATTCATGCTTATGTTGAGTGTAAGTTTTAGATTTTTTATGTTTCATTTCTTTTTCATTATTCCTTTATGCATGGATTTTTTCATGGATTTATTATATCACCTACATATTTTTCCGAGTTGTAAGAGGTTTATTAAGAATAGATTCATATGTGGGTTGAGAAACTTTCTATACTCTGCATGTGATCATATGTTTTATTACTAATTTAAAATTTTGTTGCATTCTAGGAATAACCCTAAGCTAGTCTGTATCATCCTTGCTTTATGGACATGGAGTATGTTGCAGTTTCCACTGGACCTGGCAGGTAAACGTCTTAATAATTATGCAAAGAAACATCAGATTAAAACCCTTGATTGCAAACTCTGCTAAAGTTAATGAGACAATTGAGAGAATTATCATTTTGATATTCCAGAGTTAGTTATAGTTCAGCTTAGGAGGAAAGTAGATGGAAACATTGGAAAGCCATGAGTGGATCCACTGGTGCATAATGAGCTGAAGATAGTTCAGTGGACAATCACACAACTTTATATTCACTAAAATAATGGATTCACCATTTATGATCTGTAAAATCCCCTGAAAATTTTTTAGTGTGTCTGTGGCTCAGTTTCTTCAACCATGAAATGTAATTATAATCATGATAGGGAGGGTTGATGGCTCTTGTGATGAACATAAAGTTTATAAAGAGTCTAGCAAGTTCCTGGCATAAAAGTAGTATCTCTTTGCTATTTGTAAAGGATTATTTTTGTTCCTATGTAAGAGCCATGTATTGGGGGAATAATAGATGTTTGAGGGCCACAAATGAAAAATTAAAATTTTTCTCCATGGCAGCCCTTGTAATGACATTTGATTTTACTTGAATCCATATATAAACCTTAAAGACTTTGCAAGAAGCAAGCTTTTTCCTGGACAGTTCATAGTAACAAGGATGTACAGATGCTTTGCCCAACATGGTAGCCACTTGCCATGTGTGGCTCTTCAAATTTAAATTAATTAAAGTTAAGTAAAACTATTGGTTTAGTTCCTTAGTCACACTAGCCACATTTCAAGTGCTCAAATGCCACATGTGGCTCCCATATTGGATATGGATATGGGAGTAAAGATGTGGAAATTTTTACCATCTCAGAAAGTTCAGCTGGACAGGGTTGACATGGAGCCATACCACAGCTTTTCGGTACCATGGAGTTTTGCAATTCTGCTGGGTAACTCCTCACTTTG